TTCTTTCAGCTCAATTTTTATCTGGGCTAGTAGTAGGGCTTGAACTCAGGGCCTAGGCACTGTCTCTGAAGTTTTTGCTCGGGGTTAGTGCTCCACCAATTGAGCCACAGCTCTACTTCTGGCTTTTTGCTGGGTAATTGGTGATAAGAGTCTCACAGACTTTTCTGCTCCAGCTAGATGTGAACCACAATTGATTCTCAGATCACAGCTTCCTGAGAGCCAAGATTGCAGGCATGAGCCACTGGTGCCTAGTTCAGGTGAACTTGTAAGCTTTCTTATAACAAGAGCATATAGTATTGTCTTTCTGTCCCTTAGTTTTACATAGCATCATGTCCTCAAAAGCCGTCGCTCTTACAACAAATAATCATTTTTCTTTCATGGCTGAATAACATTCCACTGCATATACACATATGCTATACTATCTTAACCCAATCATCTGTCAGTAGACAGGTTGGTTCCATATCCTGGCTATTGTGAATGTGCTGCAATATACAAGCATGGGACCATGTCTCTTAGACATACTGACTTCCATGCCTTTGGCATCCAGAACTGGGACTGCTTACTCCTTAAGCAGGCCTAGGTCTCCTTTCTTGAAGAAGTTCCATACTGTTTTCCATAATGGATGCCTGGATTTGCATTCCCACCAACAGCGGGTGAGTGTTCTCTCTCTTCATTCTCACTCACGTTTGTTAAGTTCTGTCTTTTCCCCCACAATACTTGGGTAAGCTACTCTGTCGGTGTTATTTTAATTTTCATTTCTCTGTTAATTAGCATTTTTCATATACTGGGTCCTTTGTGTCTCCTCTTTTGAGAAATGTCTATTCAGTTTTTAATTGGATTTTTTTTACTTTTGTCTGAGTTCCTTATTTGTTCAAAAATTAATCTCTTACGTTTTTTAACTTTGTATTATCATTTATTAATTGTAATAATGGTTTCCTGGTGATATTTTCCTATATGAGTGGAACACATTTTGGTCAAGGTTACCTGCCCCTATTAATCTTTTCTTCTCCTTTCCCCGGCTTTTTCTAAATAGACCCCTTTCTACTTTCATGTCTTTTTAAAAGAAAAATGAATCCTGCAGCCAAGCATCAGTGGCTCATAACTTGTTTTAAATGAATGTTTCCTCCCGAAATGTTAAACATCTGTTTTCAATGGTTGATTTAGGACCATACCCTTGGACACAACATATTTAAATCTATTTTTGTTTACAAAGTACCTATTAATTCCCTACCATGGGCAGTACCAAAAACATATGAATAATCCAGAGATTTAAAGTAGAGGGAAGCTGTGGTTGATATTATGCAAATGCCACACTGTTTTAGATGAGGGATTTGAGCATCCTTCACCCCCAGCTCCCACACTAAAACCAATCCCTTGTGGATGGGAAGAAAGCCACACTGGCCACAGGAGCCGATGGTACTCCCTGCATCTGCCAACCACCTATGCATGTGTATATGGTTCAGGGAAGAGCCAGGAAAGCGGCTTACACATTATGCAGAAGAGGCTCAGAAATTACAGTGTGACAGATGTGTCAATCAACATGACATGATCACCAGAAAAGAGAGGTCCACAGCTGACTCATCATCCCAGATGTTGTACCTGGAGTCCCCGAAGCTGCTGACATGGAGGTGATTAGGGCATTCCGAGGAACAACAACACGACATTTCAAGCTGCTTAGATTCCTAATTGGCCTCTCCTGGGAAATCTTAGCTGAGTCACTCCGCGCTCTCTGTGTCTGTTTTGCAGAAGACAGAAGTAACAATGGCACTTGTCTTCTGTGTTGAGCACTCAATAAAATAATGCACATAAAGAACTGAGCATGGCAGAGGCAGAACCCAGAGCTGAGGCCGACTCCCCTTGTGTGGGAGATGAGAGCTATAGATGAGCAAATGGATTCTTTTCCTTTTCCTGCTTTGGTCCTTGACCTACAATGAAGTCAGCCACAGTGGGACTTGCGCTTTCCTGCGGTAACATGGAGTATCTGAGAGGGTGGGCTCCTCACCTCAGGTATTCAGTTAGTTGGAGCAGCCCAGCCTGTGAGCCCTTGTTGCTCTGGCATGGACCACGGGCCCTGTGGGCCTGCACAGCTCTGGTGCTGGGCTGGGCTGGGCTAGATCTGCTCATTCCTTCCATACACTAGCACATGATTTAAATACAACTTCTAATTCTGACACCTCAGTGATTCACACTTCAAATCCCATTAGCGCGACACACCTACAAAATACTCCTATGTGAGAGAAGATGTGGCTATATTTAAACTGCCTTTCAAACTACCATGTGTGGGGAGCGGTACTTCTGGAGCCTTCGCTTCAATTGTGCATCTGGGGCAGTCGACTCTGGACATTCATGTCTCTGGCACAAGCCGTGGTGGTACAAACCACAAGGGTGTCCTGACCTGGTTGTTATTTGCAGGTGGAGTCCATAGGTCAAAGTTCACTGATCCACACTACAAGCCACACTTCAGAGACTGGGAGCCTAGATCTGAGGGATGGCTGGCCCAGCCTGCCTTGGAAAGCAGCCACTCCACACCACACAAGCAAGTACGGCGATAACTCCATGCGCGGGCTTCCATAAACAGCTATTCAACAGTAAATAAGGAACCACTGCAGAAGACCAATGTGATTTCCAAGCACAGTCTTATTTCCACCCTGAGTAAAGGCAGGAGAGTAACTTCTGCCTCCACCATCATGGAAGGGAGCTTAGTGCTCCCCGATCTATACCTACGATAGAGTGAGAAAAGATGGCACCCACAGAGACAGGAAGGATGACCCGAGAATAAGGACTGCAAGAGCCATCCACCACACCAAGAGGGCTGCTGCATGTCCCAGTGAAGCAGGCCAACAGTCACCAACACCAGCCGTCCTCTGGGCACCGCACGTATAGCAGGCACGATTGTGGGTGCTGGGGGATGAGGAAGCAGAAGACCAGCCTCCTTGTACAGGGATGACACTCAAGGTGAGAGGCTAAGGGAAAACCCAAGGAAACAAGGAAGAAAAAATCTGTAGCAAAGGGCTGTACCATCCTGGGAACCAAGAGAGACTCCAACATCCAGGGCTGGAATTTTGCTCAAAGAGCAACTGGAAGCTACCTTGAGAAGAGGAATGAGATGATCAGCAAATGCTTTAAATGCTTTAAAATTATAAACCACTCAATTTTGCCCCTCAATGATCCTGAGCATGTTCAACACTCCTATTTTCTCAATGTGGTTCAATGTCGTGAGAAAATTGTTCCAAAGGTCTCACAAGTGGGCAGCACCCAGGCCGAAGCTTGAACCCCACATGTATGACTATGACATCAGTGCTTTAGAGTTTAAGTTTAGAGTTAAAAGAGCCTTTGGAGGTGATAGGAAGCATGGATAAATGTGGCTGCTTCTTTTTAAAAGGAGAACTTCATTTTTAGAGGGAGTTCAAGGCACCAGATGGCAGTTCATTAATGCACAGAGTAGTCCTGCGTATCCATTTAGATCCACCCCTGCCTAAGGACTGACTCTGTTATCCCCTTAGAGATCTGGAGCCCAGCCCAGGGCCCAAAGGTACTCAGAGACAAACAGTGGTAACCCCTGGTCAAGCTCTGGGACTTCATCCACTCACCCTCTCATAAAATGCAAGAGGGTTTTGTTTTGTTTTGTTTATACATTTTCTGCTTGTACACATCGAAATGTTCCTTACCAGCTGTTAATTTTGAAGGAATATTTACAAACCAATCTAGGTCCTTGGGCAGGGCCCTCAGCCACTCTTGTCTAGGTCCCAGCATGGAGGTTATGCCCAAATATCTACAGGGACTACTGGGGACTGAAGTTCAGAAACCATTAGCCTAAGTGCAGCCCTCCTGGCCCCTCAGTGCTGGGATGGAAGGACCCCCACTCCTGGCTACAGCACAGAACTAATGCTTACTGAGAAGGTCTGGGCCAGCAGGAGCTAGAGTGGAAGGAAAGGTACAGGAGACAGTCAGCAGAATGGCGTGGCCTGGTGTCCAGTCCCTGGAACCCATGTATACATAGTCACTTGGCACAGAAGAATGAAGCCTGGAGATGGAATTCAGGTTGTGATCACAAAGGGGATAATCTTGAGTTATGGAGATAGCCCCCCTGGAATGTACAGGATTGTCAAAGTCACAAGAAGGCATCGGAAGAGGAAGGGCAGGAGATGGCAGGATGAGGACTCGGCCTGCCAGGAGTCAACTGCGGAATGGCTTCTAGACACCAGAAAGGGGCAAAAGACTTTTCTTCCATTCTCCAGAAGGAACCATCCCTGGATGGAACCCACTTAAGACCTCCATCCTCCAGAAGTATAAGAGAACACGCACTTGCTCTCGGATCCCAGGTTCCACTCAGTTGTTACAAGAATGGTGGGAGGATTCAGTCAGAGATCCACGGGGGCTTACGTTGCTTGGGGTACTGGACAGGGTCCCCAGTGGAAAATGGTACAGGCTCAAGAGTGATGTGTTGTGTGACTATTGTCTGAGACGGCTTCCCCTGTGTGCAAGGCGCTCAAGAGAAGGAATGAAGACAATAGGAAGGGCACTGGTGCCTCCAGGAGGGAGGCCAGACATGATGTTCCTGCCCCAGGAACCACAGAAGATCTGACTTGGGGGGATATGATGGAGGGAACCACAGAACGTACTGGTCAGGTGAGCATGCGGAGATGAAGTGAGCAGAAGACCAAGGGATGACCAAGATCATTGCCTTCCTGAGACACAGCCTCGTTCTGCTCCTGTCCTTTCTAGACAGATGGCACAAAGAGGGGAGATAACTTTGAGAGGCGCGGGTGGACCCACACGATTCCCAGTACCTGAGTCCTCACTTTTACCAACATCTGACTTTGGAGATTTAAACTCTTCTACACACAAGGGGTGACTCGGCAGCACCCCTTTACAGTGAGAACTGGGACAACAGACTTCCAATGTCACATGTGAAGTCCAAAGTGAGCTCTGGTAGAATCTCCAGGTGCCTACAGCCAAAGCAGAGTAGTGGAAAGGAAAGGCAACTAAAGGGCTGGTACCTGGATGTTGAGTCTCCCCCGATGGGCTCCGAGGCCATAGCGCTTTGTTGTGGAGGCATGGAGCTGGAAGTCTGTGATTTTCAAGGTTTCCAAGCCAAGAGGAGGGCAACCTAGGAAGAACAAGGCTTGTTAGGAACAAGGACCAACATTGAAACAATGAGTTTCTGGTTTCTCTAAATGTGACCACATGTTTTACCCTTCTCTCCTGAACTCCCAGTTGTCAGCGTGGCAAACTTTGGACTTCACCCCTGGCAAACTTTGGACTTCCAAACACACAAGGCCAATGCAACTATCAACATTTTGCCAATTTTCTCTCTTGATGATCTTCGCTTTCTGTATATTTTGGCTCTGATTCCCTTTCTCCCTGCTACTTCTGAGACTGTTTTCAATTAAGGACCCATCCACGAGAGACTCAGTCGGGGAGCAACACTGGGTAGATTTCAAAATAATCCCATGATTAGGCTCTGTAAATTAATCAGAACTTGTTGATTTTGCTTCAGTAACCCTGGCCTTTGCATTGTGCATGCTAATGAGTAGGGTGATATAAATAGAAGGGAGAAAAACACTATTGTCTTCTCTTCTTGGGAAAATGGATAACTCTGAAAACAGCCCTTAAACAGTTTTTCTCTAGACTACAACGCCAGAGCTCAGGCAGGTCCTGATAGCCTTTCACTTCCAACCCATTGTCCCTACACAGATGTGTATTAGCAGCATCCAAGGCTGGACACCAGACCTCCCAGGCCTGAGCTACTGTCCTCACCCACCAGCCTGCCATAATACTGGCATGTCTCAAAGGGAGGCCTCCTCGTAGCCATCCAGCTCGGGAAAAGGAAAGCAAAATCCCCTGAGAGGGAAGATACTTGTTACTAAAGTATTAGACAACCCCCAAGTATAACAGAGGCATGTGTGGGGGGGTCAAGTCTATGCTCAAATGGATGTGCCTAGCATCTGGAGCACCCCTGAGGACCTTCTGCACACCCAGAATAAGTCCCTGCAGGGAAAAGACTACACTAATCTCATAAGCTCAGAGGATCCTGGGAAGATGGCAGCACCAGGGGCTCTGTGGGCACCTGGTAGAGAAGGCTGGCCTGGACACAGCAGGGAGAACAATGCAGACCTCCTAGAACCCAAGGCACCACCTACCCTTTCCCTAGAGATCTCAGGAGAGAAAATGGAGGCCCAGGAACCTGAGGTGAACTACTGAAGGAATGTTGCGATCAGCAGAGCTGGACCACAGATCCAACCCTCAGTCCCAGCTCAGGCTGGCACATCGCTTCTCTTCTGGGAGCCACCTGTGCCGTGCAGGGAGGTGGAGCTAAGCAGCCTCTATTTAAGAAAACTATATAGGTACACGGATAGCCAGCTGGACCAATGTGTATGTGTATATGCTTATGTAAATGTACATATGTATACATGTATAAATAATTCACTGGCTCAGTAAAGCAACAACAACTGCAATTCAAAGCACTTCTTCCAAAAAAATGAAACTCCTTGTATGTATACAGATATTTCAATTCAAGGCTGGGCACTGAGTGGCTCACATCTGTTATCCTAGCTACACAGAAGGCTGAGATCTAAGGATCACAGTTCAGGCAGAAAAGTACCATGAGACTATCTCCAATTAACCAGCAAAAATACCAGACTAGAGGTATGACAAAAGTGGTATAGTACCAGCCATGAGCAAACAGCTGAGTTCAATAGATATCCACAAATTCAGTCCTGCAAATCAAGAAGAAACTACCTGAATAAGACTGCACATTTATCGAAAGTCATTTCCTGTGAATACACACAAGTTCTGGTAATACGCTCCTCATGACAAGAGTGAAAAAGAAGTACCCTTAAGTGAGGCGTCCTAGGATGCACACCTAATATCAACTCAGGAACTCAGTGTCCGCCTCCTCTGCAGGGTGCTAGGCCATCAAATGACAGAGTGAGTTCACACAGCTGCGGCCCTCACATCTGGCAAGCATCTCCTCCTCTTGTCCACTCTTCCAAGGGAGTCAGAGCAGAAGCCAGGAAATCTGCCCTCTACCTGCCCTTCCCCCACCCTGTCCATTCACGGCACAGCTGATGGTACCTTTGATGGGAGCTCAGATTAACACATGGCCTCAGCCAAGATGTCATCCTCCACAACCCCAGAACTCTGGTACTAGAGATGTTTCCCTTATTAGAAGATGCTGGCTTTAACTATCTAGTTTTGCTTAGAAGCCTTTTCCATTGTTTGTGCCATTTAAAAGCAGCCCAGGGAGGATCCACTCTGAAGAGAACACAATGTCCTTGAAAGGCAAAGACACAGCTACTGACCAATGTGTCCTTATAAGAAGCAAGTTAAGCAGAGTGAGAGCATCGCCCTGCCCCTTTCCCTGCAAAGCTCTCTGCATTGGAGAGAAAACTGTGCAGGCCAATCAAAGGAACCCATGCAACGCACACCCAGACAAAGTGAGGAGAGGCGAGCTCATGCAGAGAACCCAGGAGTCTGTGGCACCCCTGAAATCCCCTGACTTTCAGAGGGAGTCTGACCATTGCTGTCTCATGCTAGAGAGGAATATAAAGGAAAAAGGAAAAAAAGTGACAAGGAACCACCAGCTCCCTCCTCTCTAGGACCTATACCCAGGGCTGATCCTGGGCCCAGAAGTTACATCTGTAACGCTCTAATTATGCCTGAGACTCCAGCTGCTAATGGAGGGAGCTGCTAACAGCATGTCCTGAATGTAAGCATTACACTCACCTTTGGTCCTCAGCTCCACCCAGACCTGAGCTTCTCCCAGCCCTGGAGTTCCTGCCCTATAGCTGACCCCTCCCTCTCTCTGCCCAGACCCACCTGAGAGCCCATCTACCTCACTTCCTACCCTCACACCCTGCTACTATCTAGATAGTGGAGGCTGCCATGTGCTCCCTCTCGGGGGGAAACATGGCTCCTTTAATAAACCTTGTAATAATCTTTCTCCTGGGCCTGCCTGCCTCTGGTCCCCTGGGATGGATGTGACGGAGTCTTTCACTGAAGGCAGAGCCTCTGCAGCAATGGAAGCCACGCAAAATCCACAGCATGTTGGAGTCAGCTTTAAGAAACCTCCACAACCCTCAGAATCAGAAACCTAAGAAAGCAGAGACAGGCTATAGGTCTGGTCTGTCAGTGAGATGACCAAGGAGTGAGAGTCAGACTCACATGCAATGTCTCACAGGAAGCGCCTGCAACCAAAAGGCTGAGCAAAACAAAAATTAAAGTCTGGAATTTACTACCAGCTAAACTATCAGCCAGCAGTGAAGGCATTTTCAGATACAGAAGTATTTGGAAAATCCACCACTTCCCACCGTAAACACAGACTCTTTCTAAAACTCTAGAATAGCAGGCACATAAGGCCCAGGGATAGGAACCAGGAGGAGGCTGCTGCCTAAGGAACTTCAAATACACCACAACAGAATAAGCAGTTAGAATTCCTTTGGTTGTGCATTCTCAAGGAAACACATGGGCCCTGTCCAAGGACCTATCAATCACAATGGTACCTTCCAACGATTAGGAATGCCCTCCAGCCTTCAGGAAACCTTACCAAGGAAGTCAAAAGTGGGTGCATTGAAGAGCAAGTGAAATGGAAAAGAGAAATGAGTGTCTCAAAGCCTAACTTAAATATCTATAAACTAGAAAGTTTAAAGAAAAAAAAAAGCTGTGTTGGAACTGCAACATACTTGCGTTATAACACCAAACCATGAGATAATTACTAGGCGTAAGACTGCTCAAAACAAATGGGGAACTCATTCATTCCCAGGTTTTTGTCCTCCTTCAGTGATCTGCTAAGCTTGGCCACTCAGGGGCCACCATGCCCTCCTTGGACCTCCTCAGGACAGGCTCCTGCTCTCCTGAAGAACAAACACACAGGGTCTGTTGCTTCTAGGAAGAAAAAGGTTCTGATGCTGAGAAACACATGGGTACGGAGACTAGGAGGAAAGGTGCGGGGGGAAAAAAAAAATAAGCCTTCGGGAAAATAGTAATTAGAGATCCAAGATGTGTCACAATCTGGAAGAGCAGCAAGTAACAGTCGCCAAGGATGAACTTACTTTCTCGGAAGGCACATGGCTCTCTTGTGCTGAGTGCAGTGCCTTCCCCCACCTCTGGGATCCATTCCTCAGGTGTCAGGATGGGAGCCCCTGTGTGACCCCCTCCTCCACACACTCACTTCACGCCATCTGCTCCTGGCTGGCGTTCTCTGCATGGCAGCTCCGTACACAGTGGAGGTCACCATCCTGGCCCCGAATTATCAGTCTCCAGGGTCCTTAATATAGCATCTTACACTGCTGTATGTGCTCACTCACACACACACACGCACACACACACACACACACACACACACACACACACCAGCTCGCCCAACTAAGTATGTCTGTTTTCTTTAATATCGCAGAGCTGTTAGTGACCTTGAGGTTCAGACTGAGCAAACTGAGACTTGGGTGCAACTAAACTCCATTAAGGAGCTAAGAAGTATCCAAGATCAAGTTTGAGAAGTGAATGTGTTGTAAGATCCTAAGCATAATCTTTCAACCATCTTGAAACCCCCAAAGTACAACTGTAAGGCTTGGTGGTATATGAGGTGAAAACAGGAAAAAGGTTGAAGCTCTGACGGGGGTCCCTGGTTGGAAAAGGGGAACTCGGAATTGGAGACCTAGTGACCTGCAATGGTCACCTATTAGGAAGAGAGAAATCTTAAAAGGCACGGAGGGCCCTGTGGGGACAAGTTCCCAGCTCTCTTGGGCTTCTGCTGTTATTGTCGCCTACAAATTGGACAGCTCTGACTTATGGAATTATTTCCTTTGCTTTTCCGAACTTGACATTCGCTTTGACTAATGAAGACCCTGGAGGCCACTTCCCGGGGTACTGAGAGTGTGTTCACCATGGCTCTCAGCCTGGCTCAGATACCACAAGCTCCCTAGTGGGACGTGGGCCTCGCTCTGGGTCTTAGGAAATCTATGAACCAATCTCCATCTTGGAAAGCTCCTTAACATCCACAACATCAAGGAAGACCCTTGTGCCCTTCCCCACAGGCCTGCTGGCCAATGAGGCTCCCTCAGACTGAGCCTCAGAAACTCAGAGAAGCCTGGGAAAATGGATGCCACACTC